AATATTCTTTCAGCCCTCTTTTCTTTCCTCTGTGGGTCCTATGACTCATTTTGTTTATTTGTCACACTTTAAAATGAAGCGAAATCTCAAGGTGCTTCAACATAAAATCACCGTATTTTCTATTTAGGTGAAAAACTAATTATTAATGCTACTTAAACTATTCGGAAAGTTGGTGAGCTAACCAGCAGTTTTATGTATGGATACGGTTGACAGGTGTTTTTTCTTTAAACTACAGACAGTTGTGAATCAAAGAAAAACACGTCAGAGGCACAAAATCGTCCTTTAATCCAAGCTTTACATCGACCCACCATGACTCCAGTTATACGAGGGCTCATGCCTTATTCCCTAATCTGTCCACTTGTCTCAAGCAGCTGTAGTCCCAATATATTACCAAATGGACTCTCTGCTGTTGAAGGTTACATTGACAACACCATTTTCTCAGGCTTAAAAATATCTCCAGAGCAGAACTGAGAGCGCCTTCTACAATAAAACCGGTTTGGCCGCAAAAGTTAAAGGGAAAATGTTACAAAACCACAAAAGCCGTCCTTTCATTCTGCAGCTCCAGGCTATACATGTGAGAAAGACACCACAGCTCAGCCTCTGGGATCTTCGGTCACAAGCCCCGACAAAGAGAAATATTACATGTACCGTCCGTACCCACAGGAAATAACCTGCAAATCCATTAACTAATAGAATCCCACTTAATCCTGAGCGCTAGGGTCACATGTAAGAAGGCCGGATTCTCAAATGTGAGGATTTTGCTATTTTGGTCCAAATTAATTGCTTATTTTTTTTTAGCTTTGGACGGTTGGTCTGGACTCTAATAATTCGGCTGCATCTCGACGTCAAGGCCTTCATCAGCGGATGCCACTTGCTTTTGTTGTTGTTGTAAAAATGAATTCCAGGATCAATAATGAAGCATCGACCTTCACATTATAGTTGAGTTAAACAAGTGTCTTATATGGGATAGTGAATGCGTCTACCTAGATGGAAATCATATCCATGTGATGTTAATTTACATCTCTGTATATTTTGTGTTTCATTTGAATTTATTTTACCTATAAAAGGTGAGGACATGACACATACTGGTGAGGACGGGGCCTGTATGTTCAGGCTATAGTTGGCATCTATAGATTAACGAAGTCTGTTCTTTCTGATCTACTTGACCTGTAAATGATTGTATCAACATATATGTATGTAACCTTACTAAATAACAACATGCAATTACTGTGTTAATGTTGATTATGTTGAAAATCCAATAAATACATTTCGAGAAAAAAAGAAAAGGAAATCATATCCACACAACTAACGCTACTTATCTTCATTCATATCACTCACCTCTTCGTGGAACAAATAATGCTCTAGGGTTCCATTACTCATAACACTTAAATACGTATCACCGAGTCATAAAGTTCCTGATTTAAGATTGCATCAATATTGTTAAAGTTCCTGAACGTTCCCTGCACGCAACCATGACAGAAAGCATCGCAGATTGTTTATTTCTGACCTCGGGGCTCACCTGCCCAAACAGTTTTGGGGCATATCAGACACAATGTCCGGGTTTTGCGGTATAGGCTGTGAACGCTTTAGACACCTGGGTGTCAACCAAAAAACCCAGACTCTGGCATGTGCGTTTAGTTAACCTGCGGTGGGAGGTGTGTAGCTCAGGGGGAATTTCCACCGACACAGGGTACATGCCTTGCTGATCGTGCGTAATTATTGTCCCCAGGTCCTCCCACGGGATGCCTGAGCAGCTCTGCGTCGGAACCACTTAAACTGGAGGGACGCATTTCATGTTACCAAAAACAATACATCAGATACGTTTAAGTGTACGGAAGCAGGGTTGTTGTTTTTTTTCTTGCTTACCTTGGGCAAGTCTCGGAGTTGGTTGGCATCCAGCAACAGCTCCTCCAAACTTCGTCCGTAGCGATAAATCTCATCGGGCACATACAGCAGGGAGCAGTGGCGTTTATCGATCAGCTCCACATGACGGTTGCACCGCCACAGGGGTATACAGTTAAACATCAGTGGGGAGGTGGGGAGAAACCTCGTACCCGTGCGATAAACAAACAGGCAGGACTAGAGATGCAACAGATTGCCGTGTCGGGACGGTCCTGGACTCGATATAAACACACGTCAAACACAAGTGTGGCGAAACTCACAGACGAGCGAACACCGAAACTCCAACACCGAGCTGCCGTTCGTTAGGTCGCGACGAACATGGGAATTATTCTCCGTCGATGTCTCACTTTGGTTACTTTGTAGCAGGCACCTGTATGTGTGTCGCCGCTCGGTTCCTCGTCTCACGTCGACCTCACGTCGCTTTTAAACCCCCCCTCTCTTCAACGTTTAAAACACGGGCTACATCTCCGTGTGGAAGAGGGTATAGCGTTCTCGTTTTTCCGTCTCGTCCCGGAGTTAATTTCCTCTCCCGTCCAGTTTCTGACCCGGAACATTCACTCCCTCATTCCAATCCTACGTCATCATCCGGGCTGCTCCTCCCTCCGGTCCCTCCCCTCGGTAGTAGTCCCGTCCCGCACAGGGCCGCCATGATGGGGCGTAGAGGGCCTACCACAGCCCGGGGGGGTTGTTTTAATTATAAGTATAAAAACTCTAGACCTCAAGTGTTTATTTCATCATATTTAGAATAAGGCTGTAGTACAGTTCACTTTAAAACTGTATTTAAAATATGATCCAGTGGCATGTTTAAAAACGACCTATCATATTGTGGTCAATGTTATTAAAATGTAGACACACTACTGCTGCAGCAGTGACATTGCTGAGTCAGTTCATCTACTTCATGACTACTGTTAAGACAATTCAAACAAAAGTAGTATTCCCAGTCAAATGTAGGCTACCTAAATGAAAAGTACCTATGATACATCCGAATGGCCCTAGTCATCGTTATATCTTTGATTATTAATACTGATGCATTACTGCGAAGCAGCATTTTGATGTTGCAGGTAGTTTAAGTCTAGCTACATAATTACAACTTTATACTGTTAGGTGGTTAAATATCTAACAAGCATCATATTTTATAATTGATCATATTTATGTAAATTATTTAATTTTCATAGCAGTTAAATAAAACATTACCTGTGAAATTAAGTGAGCTGGAATAAGAAAGCACAAAATGGTAAACATACCGTCAAATTGTTCTTTACAGTAGCCTATTTTAATTAAATAAACTCTTACATTCAGTCACTGGGTATTGTTGCTTATACTTTAAGGCCACTATGGCAAAAGTGCCATCAATGGATAATAGCTCGTTTAAAAGTGAGCTGGATTGAAACTACTTTTGTTTTTTTAACTACCTGAAATGCATAGCCGGATAAACCTGCTTGGGGAACACAAGGTTCCATTTTAACGTGCCACTCCTTCCCCTCCCTTTGCGTTTTGCACGGTATTTTGAGGATGGAATATTACATGGGCCAAGGTTTGCTGTGTTTTAATGTGATTAAACTCCAATTAGGAATAATGCACAATATGCAAGTACATCATCAGCTGAAATAATGACCATAAACATTTTTGACACACGGAGGGACACATTAAATCCCTTGCCATTCTTGTTAATTCTTATATATAGCACACATAAGTAATGCTGTATAATTCAGAACAAAGTCACAATCAAAGTATATCACAAATCAACCGCTACAGTGAACCTGGGGCTCCCCTTAGTATTTCAACCATGTCCTCATCAGCTTTACTTTGTGTCCAAACGCAGTAATGTGTCCAATACTTGTTCAGTAAGTAAATACTTGAAAGTTTCTTTATTTACTCGCATTCTGCATGAGTCATAACTCCGCCTTCTATACACAGAACATGATATGGATGTTTCCTTCATTTTAATTTCTAAATGGAAAAAGAATCTCCATCCTCGTGTATTTATTTTTTTCCACACTTTGCTCTCTTCCAGGTCAGAGGTGAAGGTCAGCTCCAGCCCACTGGTCTGAGGTCCCCTTGTGGCAGGACAGCATCATTAACCATCGGGTCATTTTGCAACCCCCTCAATGGTTAGTAGGGCTTCAGCTTGGGCATAAGCCAATAGCTCGCATTAGCAATAAATAAAATAGTTTTTTTTTAAATTGCCAATGTTATCTGAGGCTACTAAGGATGTATTGTTGCACCGATTCATGAGAAATGAAAACATGAAATAAGTCTCCAAAAAGTCATAATTTTAAACGTATTAGCAATAAGACACATTCACAAGCCCCCTGGACATAGCAGCTTGCCTCAAACCAATTAATTAAACATGAGGATAGATAAATGATGCAGTCTCAGCAGGCTGCCACAGGTGGTGCTGAAGGCTACAGCAGTTTCAGAGCCACTCTTTAATATCTCAAACCGTTGTTGTCCAAAACAACAAAAAATAGACGGGAAGGGCCCTTGAGAAGAGGCACACAGCAGATGCCTTGCCCCATTAAAGACAAAACAACTGCATAGGGATTACAGTGAGTTGACAAAGCTGATTCATTTTCATAACGTGGAACGAACTGTTGACATCTTCTCGGAATTGTTTGCCTCAAAACCAGGTGGATGAGAACAACGTCTACATAAACGATTTGAAAGGAATACAATGAACCTCATGTATTAAATAGCTGTGTATTAAATATATTATTAGATGTAGTAATTAAGACTATTCTCATTGGTTTACTTGTATTTTGTTAAATTTAGTGTTGGAATAGTTTAGGTGAACGTTATCAAAAATACAGTTAGTTTGTAGGAGAAAAAAAAAACAAGAAAATGTACGTATATATACATATATCTATTCATCCTCTAGAGGGAGCCACATCCCATTAAAAAAAACTACTGACTGACCTTGTTTGGCTCAAACAGGCTAAAAGACAAAATATCAAATCACTTGAATCTGCTCTTTTCCATCGTCCCTTTAATAGTGAAGACAATTTACAGTTATAGAGAAAAAAAAACATGGCAAAATTCCTGCATATTTAGACAAACAACATGAGTAATCTATGTGAGCACAGGCCTTCTATTGTCCAAAGTTAATGAATGATAGAGTGCACTTTCCCCACATCCACACACTGTAAATATCATATAAGCACATTTATCTGCGTCCCAGCTGTTTCTTAAATGCCTTTAAGGACTTTGCCATCATTGGAGCAACTCCTGTGTGAACAACAGGAAGAAAAAAAAAATAGGTGATGAGTTAAAATAAAATCAATCAGGATTACATATAGATTACTTCTATATGTATAGCTTTCATTCTTACTCGCTACAAAAACTGAACAGGCCAGCGTGATTGGTTTGTAAAATTTAATTTAAATTTAAAATGTAATTTTAAAAAAACATAAAACATTGCGTTTATACTCTAGCTCACTTGTTTTTTTGCGAGGGTCTTGTGTATTGGCTGCCCCTGAACTGGTGCTGCTGGACCTGCTGGGCTCATTACTCGGCCTCGGTCTGTTGTCTTGAACCTTTACACTGATAATTAAGGAGACAATAGCACAGCGCATACCTCAATCAACAGAAAAAAAGCCATGCACATAAAATAAAAAACACGAGTCTCCATCTACACTACAGTTAGTGAGCATAACATCCATGTTGCAACTGCTGACAACAAAAGCAACCAAGGCAGTCCAACCAGAATAAAAACAGTTTATCCAGCACATTGCTCCAATTCCTGTTTGGCTAAGCTCACACAAAAAGTATTCCACCCTCTGTTATCGCATGGGTCTCCGGCAGGTTATGACACTGCTAAGCTGCTGTTGTTGAGTGATCGTTTTGTAGCCGAGGGCTGAATGTGCAACAAGGCCCTACTACGGCTCTTTTAATCTTTGGTTTGATTGTGAACTTTATAATCCGGTAAACCACATAGCTGAAATGAATATGCAAGCACAAATTATGTTGTTTTTTTTAAAGAAAAAAGAGCTAATCGCAAAACCTCTGTAGATACTTTTCTATATTTAGGATGCTGAAACCAACCTGCACCGGAGCTGAGGCTGCTGAACAGCTGTTCCATGAATTTCTTGCTGAATTCGTACGTCTCTCGGTGGCTTAGCAACAGTGTGAATAAATGCCATTTTCACCTGCCGACCTAAAGAAAAAAAAGTTGGCACAGTGTACTGAACATTGAGATTAAACTGTATACAGTGTATATAAAATATTCACTTTTTCATGTTCAACTGTTGTTTTGACAGTGATCGACACAGAAAGACTGTTCTACTCAAGATTAGCCTCTTACTGTTCCAGTTTACAGCACACACCTTTGGGTTTAGTAGAGTGGGCCGAGACGATGCTTTTTGTGAGCCTTTTGAGTTTCCTTTCCCTCTCCTCAGACAGCCTGACGTACATCTCTTTCCATGATTCATACTCCTGAAGTTTGGAGTGTTTGAAGTCCCTCTGGCAATGTGTCCCCCATAAGTGGTCTGTCTCTCCAATGTAGATCTGTGGAAACAAACAAATACAGGGCTAGCAACAAAGACACACCTGTACACTCAAACTAAGTTCTCTACAAACCTAACATGATGTTTGTAATGTCTACCCAAGGTGTGAAAGTTTAGTTTTACTACAAAGGTTATTACAGGATAAACTGATACACACTCAGTGGCCACTGTATGTAAAGCTGCTTATTGACATCATTAAACTTCAGAGCTCCATTAAATCTGACAATCTGATCTCTGCTTATAAAGTATGACAATGAAGTCAGAGGTAAAGTTACTGTTTAACTCAACATTATTGTACCCAAGACTTTCCATTGACATTCGCAAAAATGTCAACTTTGCACACAAGACATCTATTAAGAAGATTTACTGATTACATTCATACATCCAAAGGACTTTACCCTTTAAATTTATTGACCTTATGGCTTTTCCTGTCAATGAAAATATAGTTGTAGGCGAACATGTAAACAACAAACGGCGGGTTGGATGCAGTGCCAGACAGGTGTACCTAATTAAGTGGCCACTAAGAGTGTGTCTCTGTGCTAAATTCATTCACATTCTTACTGGGTTGAATTCTTCAATGCGTAGCAGCTGCTCTGGTGTGCACCTCTCCAACACCGGCTCGAGGATTTCAAACGGGACTCCGCCAGTTTCATAAAGCACTGAGGAGAGATCCCTGCACCTAAATATAAATCCAACAAACTGACAGACTGATCAGCAAGAAAGCTTCTCTGGGCTCTACTCACAGTTAATGTTATTCTGGAGTGTGCGGATACACTGCTGGTGCAAGCTCATCATGGTTGGGAGGAAGGCGGTCTTGGCACCAGAGTACACTTGCATCTTTTTGTTGAGTCGTTGACCAGTGAAGATCGCAGACTCCTCTGAGAAGTCACAGAACTCAGACTCCCTCTCAACTGCAAGACAGGATGTCAAGAATGAAATAAGCAATCTGAAAATACCACTGAACGTTGTTGTTGTGAATACAGTACCTTTCCTCTCAAAGTACTCAACACCAAATGGTTTTTCACATTCAGGCAGACCAGCGGGTGTCAGAATGGTGAATGGAAGCAGTTCCATTACAGACTCCTTAAACTTCTGAAATATGAATTGAAATTTGATCAACTAAGATCTGCACTCTAAAAGCCAAACGTATAAGACTATTGTCAAACATACCTGTGTTGGAGAGGTAACATTTATAGACATCACGTGTGACCTGAAAGGTTTCATGCCAGGACCTTTAGTTGCTTCCTCTTTTACTACAGTCTTGAGTGTTTTGGGCGGTTTCTTCACTCCAGATCTTTCTTTCCTCTTGAAAACATTCACGTCGTAGTTCAAGTATGATTCAAAAGACAAGGAGGGATCCTCGGACTCACTCTGCTTGTCTTTGTGCTTTATTTTTGCCTTTTTTTTTTGTGAATTTCCCTTTTTTTCAGACTCTTGATTGTATTTTAGAGTTCCGTGCTTCTCTTTACTTGTTTTTTTCCTTTTTTTGTTTTGGGCCTCTGAAGTCCTCAATATTTCAGAAGATATGTCATCTTTGACACTGGCCAGCTTTAATGTTTCTGAGTGTTTGTGACTGGATTCAAATGAAAAAGATTCTTTGCCTTCTCTGGATGATTCTTTTAGTTTCTTATTTGACTTTTTTTCTGACCCAAATCTTCCATTATCAAAGCTGGATTGTCCATGAGCGTCCTCTGAGTTTTTGTTTGCTAGCAAAGTATCAGTATCTCTTGATTTTCCGTCTCTCTCATTCCTTTTCATCTTCTTGGAGACAACTGAATTGTCCATTTGATCCTCTTGGATATCAATGTTCTTTTTCAAGATGTCATTCTGAGAGATAAGCTGGTTTTTTTGTTGACATTTTTCTTGATTTTTATTCTGGTCCTTGTGTCTTTTCTGTTCTTTACACTGTTTCTCCGAATCAGCTTTCCTGCTGCCTGTTTTGAAGAGGGCTTCTTCTGAAGAATTCTGACTCTTAATGTGAGATTTTAAGCAATTGTTGTTTGAATCCTTCATTGTAAGACTTCCATTACTTGGACAGCTTTGGTCATCCAGTTTGTCTTTAACAGACAAACCCTCTGATGCATCCCCATCCTCTGTGTGGCTGCATTTAAGAAAAACTCAAGATTAAGATGTAAAATAAATACAAAAAAATGACAGTATACTGTTAAATAAAACTAAAATGTTAATATAGGTCACCTTCTGGATTCCTTAGGGACCAATCTTTTCCAACCCCTGACTAGCGACTTGGCCAATTCTCCAGCCTGTACATGACTGCGCAAGGAGTTTACGGTTTTGCCAATTCCAGTTTCCTAAATTAAATGCAGACACAAGTAAGCGCAGTCAAAGTAAAATGTAACCAAAATACATATATAGCAAATATATCAACACAAAATACATTCTTTGCAAAAGATACTCACAGCAAGAAGGTCTAATGTGATATCGAGATCCTTAAGTTTCTGCAAAATCTTTACAACCTGGAAAGAGTAATAAACACATTCATGTTACATGCTTTCCATGAGCACGGTTTTCATGCATGTTTATGACCAAAAAAAGCAACTAAATTGTACAGTAAGGGAGGAAAACCTGACAGGCCAAATAAGGTATTCCTGGCGTTGGATCTCCACAGTTGCTGATTGTGCATTCAGAGCAGAAGCTATGTATGGGAACCCCCTCCTCCCCGCACTGCTCCTTTTACCGTGAACTATAAATGGATGAAGCAGCCGGCTGGAATAACGTCTCCCTATATCACTGAATCCGTCTCAGGTAGTGCTTTAACATTTTAATTTGATTTTAATTTATCTACATTTAAATCTAATATAGATATTGGCCAATTAAATGATCTATGCCATCTATGACTCAAACACGTCTGCAGAGTTCCCCGACCTGCTCTGATGATGGACAGCAGCCATATATTGGACAACTGGAAGAGTTGCCAATTTTAGCAGCAAGGCGCCTCCCATTTAAACAGCCTGACCCCCAAAGTGAAGTGCTTTAAAAATGCTGTGTGGCAGCAGCGCACACGTCACGGACGGAAACAGCTCGCAATCAGCCCGTTTCCACACATAATCAAAGATACCAGACGAACGCAATTAAGTAGAGAGAATATCTTATAGCCCACGGGTTTTGACAGAGACGACATTGTGAATTTGTCAACGTTTCACTTGTTCGTTTAGCCTGTAAAATCATACTGTCAGGGTAATAAAAAAAATAAAAAAAAGCTTCCGAAACCACAGAAACTGATGTTTCTGGAGCAATGATTGGCTGTGTAATTAAATAGCGTATATCCAACATCAGAAACATCACAAACTGCAAACAATTTCTCCCCTGCAGGCAGGAACCTCTCCCTTTAGCTCTGCTCTTCTTGTTGTGCGCAAAGAAAAATAATAAACTAGAGTATCTTCTACCGTAGCAGACTCTGCTGTGTCTGTCAGCTGAAGTTTGAACCGCTTGACTTTCTTCACCACATCAGAGCTGCTGGCCATCACGGTGATTCACGTGCAACCGTCTACACACACACACCGGGCAGCGCGCGCCCATTGATGACACTATTATAATGGGCGGAACCGATGACAGAAACGATGTGGAGTGTGTGGTTTAGAAGTGATGAATCAATTAGGCTTGTGCATATCAGTATACGACAAAACACATTGATAATCATGATTCACATTGTTGTCATCGAGAATATAATTCTGCAGTAAATTGTTGATGGTTGTAAACCCTAAACCCTCTTTGGGAATACAGGTCTAATAAAAGAGAAATGTATCATCCTTCAAACAAAAAAAGAAGAAAATGTATGTATTTTAAAACTTGTACATGTCTCAGGTTTAGTCAAACAAACACATCAGCCTAACCAATCATATCAGAGGGACAGGTGTGGACACTCTTAGGCCTCATCAAACTGTGAAATTTATCCATTTTTCTGTGTCTTAGACTTGTCTATGTCCTCTGCACAGAGAGCTGCAGTTCTCATGGCATTGCCTTATAGCAAACATATTATTAAATGTGCCTGTAATGAAGTGGTGCTCAAATGTCTTCTATGCGCTTCCATTTCTATTTCCTCCAATTAACTTCTGCAGATTTCCATTCAGATTGCCTATGAGATCACGTCCAACAATAAATAAATTAATATTTCACTTTATTTGTTTTACTGGAAGACTAAAATAGAAAAAACTTTTTTCTTTCCGGATACTAAAATAAAATGCTCTGGACACCTCTGACAGCTGATAACATTTTTCTAAACAATGGCTGCATGAAGCCTTCATATCCCATAGAGGAGGTCGAGCCCATGCACAGTATGTTGACATCAACTGATTGGAGGCTATTGTGGGACACTTTAGGATGGAGGGGGGTTTGAATGGTCCCTCTCCTCTGCCACATGCATTGCACAATACTTGATTGGCACTTACTCCCGCAGAGGAGGAGTTAACTGTATGTCTCTCTCAGCCGGGTGACTGCTGCTCTCTCTCTCCTGCTCCAGTACTGGAGGCACAAGTTCCTTCTTCACCAACCTCAACTTCATTTCACAGGTAAGTGGAACTTTCCCATGCTTGTTCATTTTGCCAATTTAACAAAGGCAATTCAGTGCAGTTAATGCTTCAGTGTTTGCATTTTAGACTTGAAAATGTGCTCTTTCTTACTTACTTCAAAAGGGGATAAATTGCTTAAAGCTGTTGACCCCATCCTAAAATTAGTTTTTACACATGGTGACAATAAGCTTCAGGTTGTCAAGGTTTTGTGTGAATAATGTGAGGAGTGGCTTTTTGTGAAACCTTTTTGTCTTCTAGATTGTGCTCATTGCAGACGTATCCAGGACAATTTGTCAACCATTAAATAAAATAAAGAAAAGAGACATAAAAAATTAATGTTTGCCTGAAATTGAACTTAAATAGTGAGAGGACATGAGGCCTGGTGCTCATGTCTCAAAGTCTATAAAAGGAACGTCATGGGTGAGCCATCCAGCGATGCTATTCCTGGACATACTGCTGATAAATTGTGACAGATGCAAAGAGGGGCACGTTGACGCACTCACTTGCTCCAGCATCACCCGGTAGTAGCACATATGTTTTTCAAAGTTGTTTGTGTCTAGTAGCGTCTAAATAAATTCCACTTACTCCCAAATGGAAGAAAACTTTTCTCCTTAGATACAACAAGTTGGATGTACAGGACATTTACATTATTGCTTAGTTTGAGGGAAAGAAAACAGTAGATACACATGGCACAAGGACAACAGGACCGCAAGACAGCACACACAGGAAATCATTCAAAACTCAACAATATAGGTTATTTAACGTAGTTCAATCTTGTCAATGTGGCATACCCCATAACTCCCCTCTAGTTCCCTAATATTTTGATGCACAGACCAGATTAATTCTAGGCTAAATCTTTGCCAGCATAAGTCATGTCTGTCACAAGTTGCATTTGACACAACGTATCTGTTTATGATTTCTGTGAATCCTCTTGCACTTTCCTGATAAAGGCTGACATGTTTTATGTATATTTTCAGAAGGTCTGGGCTGTGTTCTGCTGCTACAGCCATGGCACCCAAAAAGAACAAGGCGACCAAAAAGAGTAAAGGAGACACAAATGAAATGACTATAATGGTCGAGGACAGCCCCATCAACAAGATCAACGGGCTAAACACTCTGTTGGAAGGAGGAAACGGCTTCAACTGCATTTCAACTGAAGTCACTGATTCTGTGTATGCCCCAAACTTGCTGCAGGGTTTGAGCAACATGAGGCAGGAGAACTTCCTCTGCGATCTAACAGTCGCCACCAAGTCAAAGTCATTTGATGTCCACAAGGTTATCATGGCCTCCTGCAGCGAGTACATTCGAAGCATCTTGAAGAAGGATTCGTCCCTCCAGAAGATCGACCTGAACGACCTCTCGCCGGTCGGCCTCGCCACAGCGATTACATATGCATACTCCGGAAAGCTGACCCTGTCGCTGTATAGCATCGGTGGCACTATCGCCGCGGCCATGCTGCTGCAGATTGGCACCTTGGTGAAGATGTGCAGTGATTTCCTCAAGCAGGAGCTCAGTGTGGAGAACTGCATGTATGTGGCCAACATCGCCGATGCCTATGACCTCAAAGAAACCAAGGAGGCAGCTCAGAAGTTCATGCGGGAGAACTTCATCGAGTTCTCTGAGATGGAGCAGTTCCTGAAGCTCACATATGAGCAGATCAGCGATTTCCTCTCAGACGATTCTCTGCAGCTTCCCTCCGAGATCACGGCCTTCCAGATCGCCATGAAGTGGTTGGACTTTGACGAGAAGAGGTTGAAGTATGCGGCGGATCTCCTAACTCTCATCCGCTTCGGCACCATCTCTGCCCAAGACCTGGTGAATCATGTCCAGAATGCGCCTAGAATGATGCAAGACCCCGAGTGCCACCGTCTCCTTGTTGATGCCATGAATTACCATCTGCTGCCATACCAACAGAACATCCTCCAGTCACGCAGAACAAAGGTGCGCGGTGGCGTCAAGGTGATATTCACAGTTGGTGGACGCCCTGCCCTGACAGAGAAATCTCTCAGCAAAGACGTCCTCTACAGAGATGCAGATAATGTGTGGAATAAATTGACAGAAATGCCAGCAAAGAGCTTCAATCAGTGTGTGGCAGTCTTGGATGGCTTCCTGTATGTGGCAGGTGGTGAGGACCAGAATGACGCAAGGAACCAGGCTAAACATGCTGTCAGCAACTTCTGCAGGTAAGAACTAATTGTCACGTTTGATATTTAGTTTGTCACATTAGTTGGTGTGAAGCAACAAAATAACTGCAAATCCCTTTCACATTCTTCAGATTTGACCCCCGCTTCAACACTTGGATTCACTTGAGCAACATGATCCAGAAGCGCACACACTTCAGCCTCAACATCTTCAACGGCCTCCTGTTTGCCATCGGAGGGCGAAACGGTGATGGTGTTCAGGCCTCTGTGGAGTGCTATGTGCCCTCCTCCAACCAGTGGCAGATGAAAGCTCCCATGGAGGTGCCCCGCTGCTGTCACGGCAGCTCCCTTATCGATGGCAAGATCCTTGTATCCGGAGGCTACATCAACAACGCCTACTCCAGGGCTGTGTGCTCGTATGACCCCTCCACTGACACCTGGCAGGAAAAGAGCAGTCTGAGCACACCTCGAGGCTGGCACTGCGCTGCCACCGTGGGAGACCGAGCGTATGTCATCGGTGGCAGCCAGCTGGGAGGTCGTGGGGAGAGGGTGGATGTCCTCGCCGTCGAGTCTTACAACCCTCAAAGCGGGCAGTGGAGCTACTGCACGCCTCTTCTCACAGGAGTGAGCACGGCTGGTATTTCCATTTTGAACAACAAGGTCTATCTCCTCGGAGGCTGGAACGAGGGAGGGAAGAAGTACAAGAAATGCATTCAGGTTTTCAACCCTGACCTCAATGAATGGACTGAGGATGATGAATTACCAGAAGCAACAGTCGGCATTTCATGCTGTGTTGTCACCATACCCACAAGGAAAACACGAGAGTCCAGAGCCAGTTCAGTGTCTTCTGCACCAGTCAGTATATAAAAGTGTAGATAGTAATAATGTAGTTTAAATGTCTAAAGATCTCCAGCATTTCTGTTGAATAAATCTTTGTTCTAAACTCTACCAACAGTTCCTTTTTTGGGACGAAGATGATGTTTAAATGGTCAACTTTCTTCAGATGAGATAAAGATAATAAAATGGAAGGATTTGGGAACACTCCATTTATTGAAAGCAATTTGAAGCCTTGAAATGCATTTTCAGTATTTATAGTTTAACAATTGGTATAATGGGCATCACGAAGGTCATTTATGATAGAGAAAATGTTTAATTTACGTAGCAATAAAATAAAATGTTATCAATTTTAGACAGAAATTTACCTTTGGGGCCAATTCAGTTGAGATAATATCATTAGCCCTTTTTCTATAACAAATATAATGTTATTTAAAACTCAAATGAAAGGTATAAAGACGCAAAATCACTGTTGTTGTTGAGATTAATCTGTAACATGGTTGTCTTTTTTATCCAGTGTTTGCAACACAGCTATTGCCGTTGAAGGACTTTGTGACAGTCCTGTTTATGTCAACTATAGCTCCTGTGATTCTCAGATACTTGAACAGAATGATGAGCCGGAGCTGAAATAAGTATTGCCATCACCTACCAGGAGTAGGAGTAGTAAGGCCGCAATTTCTCTACATGTGTCTCATGTAGTGGTCTTGTGTCGTATGTTGTGTGATTGTCAAAAACACTATCAGTGCAAAGAAATGGATCTGTTGGGAAAATGTTGGAAGTGATGAGGGTTGAATGGGTTTAGTTGTGACAGCAATAAAATATTTTGTAAAAAAGAAAAATAGAAGTTGGGAACGATGTTGTCAGCCTGAGCTTCCTGGAATTCATGGATTCCCTGACTGCTCATGTCTTTTCATTTATTTGTTTCTTTTTAAATTAAAGAGTTGAAGCTTCTCTGAGCCATGATCATTTATTTTAAATCCTTTTCATGCAAGTTTCTTCTTTCTTTTTACTTTACGGTAATTTTGTACCGTAAAGTGAAATACTTGAGTAACACACTTCAGTTTGTTTTTGATCACCATAAATCAACAAAATGTACATGTACACATGATTACTCTTTTCAATTTATTTCAATCTATTTGCCCTTTTTAGTGGTTTCTTTTTGGGAAATTGTTAATTATTGCATTATGCGTGGACCAGGAGCAACGAGTGATGAGGCCATTTAGAGGGTTACATTTTCATTTTCCCATTAAATGAGCACTTTTTGTCTTTAATCCTATCATGAAATCCGTCCAACCCAGAGACTCATAAATGTGTGTATTTTTTTACATACTGTACACATTTTTACATAAATACAAGGAGATTGCAGGTACCAAGTTTTAAAAACTGAAACAGTAAGTTCACTGGCATCAAGTGAGTAATCGTATACAGCTGTCTGTACAACTTATAGTTTAACAACTGCCTCAAGTCTGTTGTTAAACTAAATAATGTAAATCCACAAATATTTGAGCTCCTGCTCATTTATCCGAAACATACTTTACACTGTGAGAGCGAGAAAACAGCTTCAGGCATGTAACTTTATCCAAATAATTATAATTGTGATTACATGATTACAAATTTAAGATATAAAGGCAGAGGTGTCATTACAATGTAAAAGAAAAAACCTATCTTCTCGATCAGCTTCTGAGTGATGTGATCCTATTCAAACACCAAAACAGTTCTGGTTATTTCACATTAGAGATGTCGGTATTTGTGTTTTAGTCCTGGCTGTACAACTTTGGAAACATTGCAAACAAACAGGATGTCATTAATGAGTCTAATGGGGAAAACAAATCAACAAAAATTCAGTGTGTTGAGAGTTAAACCAAATCCCTATTTGGGCCATATGTCAGTTCAATGCACTTTGAGTTTTATCCACCCTTGTAAAGCACACACACCCTCAAAGAAGTTGAGTGCTGTCATTATGCTATTATTCTTTCATGATGTTGCATTCAGGTGTTCCTCATAAACTGGTACGTCCCAAACTGCAGTTGTAAGAAAAACTCATCAGTTTTAATACTGTGGTTTGGAAATAATAAGACAGGTGAGCCAGTGAGTAAATTGCTCTGTAGTGGTAGTTGCTCTTGTGAGCAGCGTTTTACATTTTACAGTGACAGAGAAATCAGGAAAATCAACTTGATGAAAGAAAACAACATGAAAAGAAATAAATAAGCAGGTTTAAAAACAAACTGAACTATGAACATCTTATGCAGTGTGACCTAAATCACACTGATTAGGAATTGATTGAATTGATTGATTGATCTGATCAATCTGATAATTGAGAAACAATAATTTATAAGACAAATGAAAGTCTTCCAGCCTCTTAAATGTGATTATTTGGTGCTGGTCCTTGCCGCCGTATATCATATATAATTGAATAACTGGGACTTGGATTGCGCTCATACGAATTGTGTTGACTAATTAATTAGTTGATTTATAAACCACAAAGAATAACACACTTGTGTTCACCAGAGATGTGCTCAGAAGTTTCTTGGAAATAAGTAATTCAGCATAAAAAAAGCAACTAATCGACTAAAGAGCTCTTTGTCGACTACAGTAGGGCAGTACGTGAACGTATCATCGCCTACAGTAGATTGGTACGTGAACGCATCGTCGCTCTACCTGCTCCGATTGACAGGTCAGTGGGCGGAGCCAAATGACAAAGAACGCTGAGTCACCGTGACGTCACTCCGCTCCGCCGGCCGACATCACGTGTGTGAAGCCAGGAGGGCGTAACGTTACTTATATACAACACGAGAGGAGCTGGTGTGGAAACAAACCTAACAACCGGCCGGTTCATCTCGCTGTCATCACAGAGCTGCACGGTATCGGGCCCGGTCCGTGGTCGTTAATCCGAGTCTATAGGAGGCACCGTTTAAATACGTCGGGTTTTTACCGGAGAGCAGCCACATCATTCCTCCGGTGTGCTTTACCGAGCTAACCATACATTAGCAGGTGATGAGCAGGGGCCTGCTTCTTCTTTTCCTGGATGCCCCACTAAGGTTACCGACAGGGCACGCCGCCTAACAGTACCACGAGACGCCGCTTTCGCCTTTGCACTCTTCCGGGTAGCTCCTCAAGGATCCAAGGCTCTGCCGTGTGTTCGGACCGAGACTTCATGCTAGTTCTGCACGAGTTTGGACAGACTAGCTAGCTAGCTAACGCATCGGCAGTGCAAACTCCCACAAGACACCAGTCAGTCCGTTCACACAGCCTGTCGGTGCGATGGGTCTACTGTCACAGGGGTCTCCGCTGAACTGGGAAGAAACCAAGAAGTACGCGGACCACATCAGAAAGCACGGCATCATTCAGTTCCTCAACATCTACAACAAGCTGAAGGAACGTCAGAAGGATGTGTTGAAGTGGGGCGATGAGGTGAGACACGAGAGTGATCCAACATGTGGGAAGTGCTGCATTGCTGCTGCCTGTTGATGCTTTTGATCGATCTGTCATGAGGGTTGTGCATGATGCAGTATTGGCCTTTTATTGAGATAGAAAACTACTTTACTGGGTTTACTCTGTGCAGAAAAACAACATTTAATTATGTAATATTTTAAGAGGATTTGCATGTTCATGAGGTGCTGTCATGGACATGCTCCACTATACAACAGTTTATTGACCAGGTAGTAGTTGTTTTTAGTTTCATTTCCGGTACTCGTGGTTATATGCTATGAATAATTCAGTGTACTTGTAACTGTATACTAATGCGAATGATGTAAGATGTACTACTGGTAATTCAGGAAGACACTTCCTGTCAAGTGACTGTAACTTAAAGCCTGCTATACCATATATTAACCAACACTTTGTCGGCTCAGCTTTGACTTTTTTCATAACTTCACGTTAGTTTTTACCCGCCACCAGTCCACACAACCTCCAGTGTACTACAGCTTGAAAAAACGTGTTTTGATCTGGAACAATGTGGAATGCTGTTGTTATAGATTAATCCCTCTTTCAGACGGGGGATTACGGAGGTAGCAGAGTCAAGGAAACATAACCCATGAATTGGAATTGATGCGATGGCGTCCCAGTCTGATCTGGAATCAGCTTTGTGCTGTAGTCCAGTGTGGATTGAAACCCTGGTTTAGAAGTTGGACTGTGTTGAATGAATAAACCAGAGGCTGTAACGCAGTGTTTGACTGATCATGTGTGCTGTTTCTGTTTAATCATTTACTTTCAGGTTGAGTACATGTTGGTGGAATTGGATGACAAGGATGAAAAAGTCCGACTCGTCCTCAACGGTAAAGACGTTTTGGAAACTCTTCAGGACCAGGGTGAAAAGATAAACCCCAAGTAAGTCAGTCATGCGTGGTTCAAGTCAAAAGTTTTCTATCTGTAAGTAAACATGTTCTTAATTAAATAAGAAAATATTTCTCTGAGTACTAAGTATTTTATTTGTCAAGTATTGAGTATTTGCTATCACAAATGTATTCGCATAGCTCCGGCACCCATCATCAAAACTGATCTCTAATCTAATCAAATTTTTTTTTTATCAGTGTGCAGTCCAGCAGAGGCGTGAAGCATTATGGCCTGTACTGTCATCACGTTGTTTCACTCGCACTGAATTTGCCTGAAAGCCCATGTGTCAATTTGACTTTCATATAAAATATGGTGTGCTTTTGCTCACATGCACAAAGCACACCACACAAACAAGTCTGAACGGCTTGTGCAAAATGCTGCAGCAACAAGTCTTTATCAAACCAGCAGTTTTTTTGTTATTTTTTCTAAATCACACAAGTTGGCACTGTTAGAAGCAGCTGCAGCTCTGAGTTATTAGTGTGTCTCCTCCAGTTTTCCACACCTTGAGCCTTTGACAGTAACTTCCCCCTCAGGCTCCTCAATGTTGGTTGGGAAATATCAGTGAACTTCACGTTCAAGTTTTTTTGCATTGATTTTACGAGCCGTAACTGCACCGTCCCTAACATGCCGCTGCTACTGGCCTCACTCTGGAGACGTCAGTATCTATGCGATGAGCATTGTTCTTAATCAGATTCAATATTCAGTCCAAAAGGTTACATTTTAGTCATAATAGACCAGAGAGGTTATTTACGCATTCTCACAGTCGATCATTAATTGCTGTTTTACGCTTTAGGTGGGCTTTTATTTTGTCTTCCTCTGAGTTCTACAAAATAAAAGACCTTTTCGTTACAGACGTCTTCCCTTTCATTTTGTTAGTGCCCACTGTGTCCCAGAGGTGTTTCAGTGTGTGTTATACCCTTCTTTATGATTTATACCCCAACATAGTTATATATCATAACATGTACATAAAGTCCCTGAATCATCATGGCATGAATTAAGGTGTCACTGCACTTACACTTTAATAAAGTTGCTCTGATAATGTCCCATTTTAGCCTGGATTGCTTGTCGATTTAGGTGAAAAAAGTTATTTTAATGAAGTCTAAAATAAGTCAAGCTGTCACGGTGCATGGTAAAAATAATGAGTTGAACATTTTTACAAAAGTGCTCCAGATAAATCCTTCCAAAAGGAAGCGGTAATGTGAGGATAATTAGCCAAAGGAAATCCATCAGTGATATCAATCAGAGCTGCTCCTGGTAATGCAGTTCGCATCTTCAAACTGTCGTAACATTTGTTCAAAAAGAGTCTCTGCACGCGGCGTGAACGTGTTTGTAGAAGCTTGTGAGTGTTATTGTTGCTCGCTGCTCATGACGTCGGTCTGAATCGGTGGAGCCAACTTCACCCGGGGGAAATACCAGTGGCAGGGGGAATAGTAGAGCCCATGCATTCCTCATTACTGCCCCTCTGTCGCACACACCAAAGAGCACGCTCCGGAGCACAAATACGTCGCGTTCGTTTGCCGTGCCAAGATTGCGGCTGACATATGATAAAGGGAGAGCGGTCGGCTCATTCAATCAGAAAGGTCATCGCGATACAGAGATCAGGGGCGTTTTTCTCGATG